GAGACGAAACGTCCCATTTTGTAGACACGCTCGTGGCGGTTGCTGTATCTCCACTATTCTTGCATTCTTTGGGCCCTTTGATATGGCATCGGTGGAGTGAATACTGAAACGTGTTGAGAATGACTGTGGTAATCCCGATCTCAACTACCGGTTAAGGAATTGCTCTCCAGAATTCTATTCATTTGAGTAGCAGACAAAACAAGATCTGCGTCTGTACAAAACAACTAGTGTGCCTCACAGGTATTTACAAGGCTCTGCGTTTACACTGATATTATTAATCATCCACACTTACACTGTGATTCACTGACTTAGACACTTTCGTGAAAAATTCCAATGATACTCCATTATATTCACCATGAATCCGGACGTCGTCGTTATTCCTATCAAAATACTGTTTCCTACGAGGAGCTATGTTACTGAAATACCTGACAGGCAACCACAAAATGTCCCTAAGATCCACGTCAGAGAGGAATCCTAACCTAACTTTCCTTATATAGTAATCAGTTCGTGCCATTAAATCAAATATGACCATAATTTCATAAGGACAGTTGAATAATTTTACCAATGAACTTGTTCATGCTACTGACCAACAGAAAGGTAAAAACTCACACATCCGTATTACTCGTAAAGAACACACAGTTCTTGATTCATCAAAAAATGTTATACGTAGGTTAAAACGGTTTCCTTACTCAGATTTATCAAAAACTTCCCGTAACCCTTACGCTGATACGGTGGAAGAATCATGATGCACGCCAAATTGTTGCCATCCTGCGACACCTTTTCCTGAAAAACAACATCTGAGTAAAATGTATGTTCACTACTTGACGAATCAGGAGTTCTCGCATCAGACCTTTGAAAAATACCCAACCATATGCGATCCTTGGCGGTCGATTTCACACAGAATGTAAAACATGAACGGTCCTACGTCGAAGTACAGGGTTTTGTGGTCCAAGAACAGTTTCGCAAGCAAACACAAATTCTGACAGAATACCTGGAACAGTCGACCGTACTTAAGAACACGTGGCAAAAGATTGGGCGGATTTTCGGCAACGAGGGATTTACCTTGTGGTCCTCAGCATTAACTTCGTACACAGCGATCGAATCTTTTGCGTAAATCTTTGGTCCCGGAGGACGCCTCCAGGTGCAGTCTGTCTGAAAACATATGGTGTTGCACATTAACGTAATGCCATACACAGTAATGTCCAACGACTGCAATCTCAGTAGCGCTTTCAAAGTGCATTGAGACACTTTACTTAATCAATCATTTCTGTTACTCACGTAAGTAGCCACTTACTTTAATATTAGACACAAAATCACACTCACCTATGTTTTCGGGTCACTGCACATTAAAACTTATAAAAAATTTATTTAACATTACCATAAAGTCATGAAAAGTGCAAGCTGGCATCAGTTGATAGCACACTAAAACGAAGGCTCTGTTGATGCCACTGGCGAAGATTACGAAGCCGTATGGTTGGCTGTGACTGCATATTTTTCATAATCATTCTTAACCGAGCTGCTGACAACAGGTTCTTCTGTCAGAAGCGGCGGATTTAAACAAAAATGCTGTGTAATTGTGAATGAGCCTAAAGAATCCCGCAAAAGAACGAAAACCATACCATACCAACAGCAACTGCCAGAAAATCTAATGTCAGATTAGCCTTTCACAAGTTTCAAAATCGCTCAGGAGAATTCAGGTAACTCCAGGCAGTCGGATGCGTTTGTTGAGACGCCGTTGGATTGGCCTAGGATTATAACATCACTTACCATTGCCTAGTTCAACCCCATAACCAGCATATTGGAAGAAATAAGTTAGGGAGAGAAACTGCTCTCTAATATACGACAAAAAGAAGGTCGTTCTGTATGTGCTTAAGTGTAGAAGTTAGAGGCTTACATTAATAAGATCTCCTCAGGCTTTGTGACGGACTACCAACACGGCCTTTGAACGAGCTCAGTTGGCAGTATAGCTTCTCTCTTGTCATCGACGTTTCGTCCACCTCAAACAAATGCTCAAACCAGACAGTCCGTCATCAAGCATGATTTCAGTAGAGCCGTATCCTTACAAGTTGCACTACGACTTCATTTATGAATATGAGTTGATTTTCACGATGAACCTCAGAATCGCACTCCAAAGGCATATACCTGACATTGTTATTCTGATCAGTAGCACATTTTCAGAGAATACATCATTACCACGTAGATCTTCATTAAATCTGAAACTTATTATTAACTGTCCACATTATATGCAATTCAGAACAATATCTGTCAGTAGTAAATTCCTAACTACAAATCGCATATCTAGTGATAACTATGCCAAATATTCGACGTATCGTCATTCTCAGCGGGGGCAGCGAAGAGGTGGAACGCTCTAGCAGACTATTTTCAACGTTACGGAGCGGCTTCAAACGCAACGAGAGACGTATATATTCACTTATTAACAGCTAAATTCCTTGATCAAGAATTTCACCCTCTGCTATGGTGCGACCAGCCTAAAATCACGTAGAAGGTAGCTAATCTACCAATATGAGGCATACATTATAATTTAAAAATATTTCAGTAGGACCATCATCCTCTGCAAGGAGTCCTTTGCAATATCAATATGACAGGTCTTAATGGAGAAGATTTGCACCAGTACGGAAAGGAGACTCACGCCTTTGCAGATTTCTGTAAGATTGCCATAATCCACTGTTTCAGGGTCCATAGCAGCACCTTCTAGTAATAGTAGCGGCTGAAAATATGCTTTAAAGCACTTCAGTCACTCAGTCCACCCGTACATCGGTGATAAAGCGACCTGCATGAAGTGAATGCGGTAAGGTCTTCAGGGGCACTCCCAACAAGGGAGTAATACTGAACAGAACCTATAGTTCTCACCATATGATAACGGTAGGTGCGCTGGAGCTTCATATACTTGAAACAGAATTCACAGATGTACAGCTTCGATTGCTTGCCGTAATCTTCCGGATACGGAGAGAAGTACCATGTGTCCATCTCGTACTTGCCAAACTGAACTCGGTCGATATACTTCACTTTGGTCATCTGCGAAAGTGCGACGCATTACTGCTTACGTGATTAGGCAGATAATATTAGACATACCGCTTCGTGCTCCTTTTCCAGCGCAGCCGTGGTCGGGTCCATGTCATCGTAAGCCTCAAGAAATTATGGACGAACAAGTGATCGACATCCTGAGGTTCTGGGCTTAACAACGAGTACCTGTTGCACGTGATTGATTTCGTCATGCTTTCGCTTTTGATTACGCGTTATTTTTCTCGTCTCTTCTTCGTTGCTGTCCGGTGAGTTTGAAACAACGTCAAACACCTGCTTTTGCTGCTCACTGGACGGACTGCAGCTCAGCAAATCGATCCTGTCGGCTGTGACCCATTCGTCCAACCGTCGGTTGACTTAAGAACAAAACAGAACCTCAACTTTCACAAACCACTTCTTCCCCGACTTACGTCCTTCATAATGAACGTAATACTCCACCCTATCATTTGCCTGTTTGTTCACTCTGCTCTCGATAATTTCCGCGAAATCTAAATGATGCAACCGAGATCACAGTATAGTTTGATAAAGACAAAGCATAAGATCTCAATCAAACATATGAACAAACGTCATAAAACGACTCACGCCAGGTGTCATCTTTTCTTTTCATCCGATACGAAAATCCAATTGTTGGCTCTACCGCCTCCATCCGTAATATGCTAAAGCAGTAGTTTAAT